AATACCTCATAAAAATAATGGAAATATGTAAAGGGTGTTCCATTTACGATTTTTTTTTAATAAAATGTTAACAAATATTAATAATCACTGAAATAACCGCATCGTGATACTTTTCATGAATTTTTAACCATTTGAGTCCTAGTGTTATTGTGACAAAATCACCTTTTTAATCATTTATATTGTATTTTTTTTTCGTTTCGTTTCATCAAGAATCAATTTAAACTTTTGGGGACGAGCAGTGGATATAGCTGGCCTATTCTTTATAAGAGAAGACTACGGTTATGTAAAATTGTATACAAGTTTTTACATTAACATTTGTGTTACAGAAATATGCCACAACATAACAATACACCAAAGTTTCCTAAAAACAGTTGAAAATGCAACTTTAACAAAAAAGCGTTCCATGTTAGCTTTGAGGGTATGAATTATATCTGGCTTATTTACATAGACTTTCGCTTTAAGATCACCACAAGTAAAAGAAGGCGTCAAATCGCATGATCTTAATAGATAATTGAAAGACTAAGCAAATTGCAGTGCATAACGAAGTGGAAAACGGCCGTATTTTTTCAAACACGTGGTAAAAAATGTCCAGAAAACTGCAATCTTATTATGGGCAGTCAAATGAATGAGGTTCTTCCACCCAAATAAGTGGATAATGACAGTGTTAAGGATAAAAGCAAATTCACAGTCCAAGGAAATAGTGGAATCGCAGAGCATCAATATACTACTAAACTTAACCTACAAGACGACAGACAACAAATTAAAAAAGAGACGAAAATAATGGTAAAAACTTCCAATCGAAAGTTTATAAAAAACAAATGTCAACCGCAATAAGATTTACTTAATGTTTGCAGGAGTATAATAAATATATGATATAATATTTATTTTATATATTTTATTAAACAAATTGTTCAATTCCTAATGGAACACCCCATATTTATTAATTATTTAGATTATTTATAATAAAAACAATTTTGTATTTCTAGAATAATCCGAATTTTTGCAATTAAATTTTCAATTAAAAAAGATTCACATCAAATTAAACACTTCGCGCACGAGATTAGCTCATGCAGCAAACAAGTACGAAGTTATCAGACACTTTTTCGATGTTTATTAATATTGAAATGAATTAAAATAATTATTCGAAGCGCCACAATTATCAACATGTTATGACTACTAATTATTATATTAACAAAAATACACTACCAGATTACGACACAATCATCACGATGATTTAACGATTTCGGTGCAATAAAAACAAAAGGTGAAAGTAATAAATTTTTCGTCACATTTTCGGCATTTCAATATTAGTATCAATTTATATAACCGAAATATTATGTTGACTTAATTTTAGCAAAAATACTAATTTGTCAAGTTCATCAATATAGTCATAATAATAACAAAGCTAATCTGTAGTAAATAAAAATAAGAAAATACTAAATTAAACATTGGATTAAAATATTATTTCAAGTGCGAAAAGTCTAATGTTTATTATTAGTATTTGAATTTATTTAACACCTATGACAATATCAAGATTTCAAATCTCATAAAGATTGATATCTGGTGCGTAAAATAATTCTCAACCAATGAAGTGCTGGAATATATTGAAATGTATAAATAATCTGCCAATCATAAAAAAAACGCGTGGCTCATTCTAACATCCAATTTGTTGTAAACTTTTTCACGTCACGAAACGTGCTATCATATAAACACAGAAAAACTATAATTAAGATTTGATAAATAAATAAACAAAAAGTATATATTCAAAGTATACAAATAACATCAATATAGTGGAAAGAACTGAATCAATAACAACAATTAATCTTCGGGTTTGTTGATTTCCAGTCAAAACAAAAATGTTCATATAAAACACGCTCCATATTTTTCCGTGCATCCAATTCGTTTCACTTACTATCAATTAAAATGTTATTTTAACCTCGTTTTTGAGCGACAGCAAGCCAAAATATTAATTTATTTATTTATTGGGTTTGCATTTAATTGGGTTTGTCTTTTATGAATTGAAGCACGTTATTTAGAATTTTTCAAAAACCGTTAGCTGTTCTGAATGGTTTACGCAAATCGCCAGACGCAGTTTGAGATAACAGTCTGAGCTGTCAAAAGGTTTGATTAATTGGAGCACACGAACGTTACCGAATTTACGCAAATTTACAACAACGCTCGGAAAATTTTCTATGAAAGCAGTTATTTGTTTATTTCTATAATTTTCCTTAACGCAGTTTTACATTTGTTTTTGTTTTGAATGTTTATGTAAAACAAACTATGATTAACCTGCATTTTCCTAACCTTTGGTCCGTTATATGTACTAATGATGGGAACATTTTATTTAAGGCTGATAGTATTTTTTTTCCTATCCGACAACAACAATTGGGACTTTATAAACTTTATCACCGATAAATACATATAATTTAGTAAATGAGTTCATTAAAACCTTTCTTTGTATTGGAGCAATTACCATAAAATACCATATAATGCATAAAAATAACAATTTTAATTGTACCACATGGAGCGTTCTACGCAAAAGTAAATTGTATGAATGCTTTTAAAACTATGTACTAAATCATGTATGCTTTTTTGTAGAGAAAAGGAAACCTAACATAAGGTGACGTAGTGGTACTGTGGGATTCTTACCTCACTAAAACCTCTCCCCATTTTTCATCAGCATCCAGGTCCGGTGTTTTGACATATCTCTGCGATGCAAGTTGTCTGAGCAAGCTCTTCCATCCTCCGCTCGTCATTTCCCTTAATAGAGAGCACCCCTGTTACTTATCTTGTGATGATGTCCTACTTCTCTTAGCACTTCAGCATCTCACCAACGAACGTCTCCGATTTCAGCACTTCTTCGAGATTTGCTTCCGCCTCATGCTTCATCTTCACGCATCTGCAGCATAAAATAATTTATCTTCTGAGCTTCTGGTCATCTTCCTACCAGCACTTTTCGTCCTCCATCCTAGCTATAAAGTGCAGATACTTGCTGCAACCCCCATACCCGGAAATCGCTTGACTCAGGTGGAATTATGTCTGGCCGTGCTTTCTTAAAATCCGGTTTATACCTAAAATAGCAACGCATAGCATGGGGGTGCGTATGGGGCGTCCAAGATGCAAGTAATAGTTAATACGATTATTTTCTCAAAAAAATAAATATTAGACCCCTTTAATTTCAAATTAAAACCTAAAATACCAAACCATTTAACCCTGGTTTACATTTCAGTTTTTATATTCTCCTGAAAATATTTCCTGTTGTATTTGATATTTCACAATAATATTCAGAATTAATGCTTTTTCGGAGTCAAACCTTAATTTATTTCATTTGAACATGACCTAAAAGTGGTCAAAGTGGTATAAATATTCAATTAGGAACAATTTTCGTCTATGTTATTTAACTATCTTCTTTTATATCGAATCAATTCAATTCAAATTATTTTGATTCATGATAATTATAATTTGGTTATTGTTAGTCAGCTATATTTAAGTTTAATAAAATTTTATGAGCAGTTGTATATAAAATATTAGATCCGAGATAAGTAGGAATAAATGGATTAGGTTTTTTCAAATGCAGATTAAGTTAAATTAGATTTATTATTGGTCAGAATAAGTTTCTTTAAATTATGGTCAATGAGCGATACATTTAAGGTTAGGTTTTATCTAAGTAAGATTAGGCAATCTTGAGGTTTAATCTGGGTAAAATGTTCAATCGGGTCAGTTATTAGGAAAAATAAAAATATTTTAAAATTGGTCTGATACAGTATAAGTTAAGTCAGTTATTCCCAAAGTAGAAAAATATTTAGAAGGTTGGACAAAAAATGTGATAGACGGGACGGGATGTTTTTCTACACATATTTATTCTTCAAGAAATCCTTTAAATTTTTTAAGTGCAATAGGGGGTCGCGGTCCAAAAAGTTTGAAAAACACTGAGTTAATTAAGGGTTGTCATGTTTGATAACTCGAAAAAAATATTAACATATTTATTATTTTACATTAATACTAAACAATGGACATCCTCAAAGCATCTAAGGTAGGTGTTCGCAAACTGTCCTCTGCGGCTGTGAGATCGCCGCAAAAAAACAAAAATTTAAAGTTTGGGAACCTCTGTTTGAAAGAATTGATGAGATTCAAGATTTGTAGGTATAAATAAATCATGTTTGATTTTGGTAAAAAGGTTTTCTATTAGAAATAGGTTAAGTTTTATAAGGTTTAGGTCAAGTTAATATTTAATAAATTTAATCTAAATAGAAATAGGTTAGGATATGTCAGGTACAGTTTTAGTTAAATTATGTTTGTTGGTGGTTGATTATTATTAGTTTGACGGTACATTAGCAAATGTGCATGCATAAAACTTTTTTAATATCGGAATTAATATTTTTTAACATATACAACACTTTACTAAGTAGTAGTTTCATCATTTTGTAATTGCTACCGACCTCACGTCACTAATATTACGTTTTCTCGTATCCATGTTTACCGATCTTCTTGAAAGTTCACTTTAACAAATTGACAAACAACTTTTATTTTTTCAGAAACAAATGAATTAACTAAGTAGGCGAACATACGTTCATATAAACTATTAGGTATTTTAAATTTACTAATGTATTTTATCAATGATCATTGGTAAAATGTCTCACTTTAGTCCATTTTTATGCTAGCTTAATTCGATTAACACAATATTTCTTAGTTTTTTTTGCAGCTATGTTCGTTCTGCAAATTTAAACAAATATGTTTTATTTAAAAAATCGACGTAAATGAAACAGTCTAATTTTATTAATCAATTATTGCAATATTCTATTTACTTTTGATATGCTAATTTAGGTTTTGTAATAAAAGTTGCTTAATTAATGACTTTTAAACCAATTAAGAAAGTACTATATTATTTTAGAATATAACTTATCTAGTTATTTGTAGTAATTAGTGCGACCTTCCGGCATTTGTAATTTATTTAGTTCAGTTTTTGTAGCAATATTGTTCATTTTATTCAAACAGTATGAAGTATTTACTTGTCTTATTTTCTCTAGCAGTGGCAACTGTTCACAATGAGACTCATCGAAATGTTTGTAAGCAAATGAATAGCTACAATACGATTAATAAAAAGCAACCGCGTGAGGATTGTTATTTCAATCCCAACGTTGGATCAAATACGGTAAATTTTAGATTAATTATGTTTTCAATATTATTAACTTTTGAACCAATCAGATGTTTGTTATTCAAAGAGAAAAATTCCAAGTAGAATCGTACACTGTTACAAGTGAAGATGGTTACATCACTACTTTATACAGAATACCGAATAATACCGGTAAACCGGTGTTCATCCAGCACGGAGCCGTGTCCAGCTCGGAATTTTTCGTCACGCAAGGAAATAATTCCTTAGGTAACTAGTGTAAACTGAAGTTTTAATATCATGTAACGAGAATTTACAGCATTCCAGTTGCATAATCGAGGTTACGACGTATGGCTGGGAAACAATCGCGGAAGTTTCAACTCTCCGGAACATCAGTATTTGCCTAGAAATTCGGAAGAATATTGGAATTACACGTAAGCCTTCATCTTTCCATTTTTTAAATCCGTTTCAATACTAAAAATTGCAGATTGGATGATTTGGGTAATTATGAGTTACCCGCGGTGATCGATTTCATTGTAAAAAAAACTGGAAAGAAAGAGAAGATTATATACGTGGGACATTCCCAAGGAACAACTATAGGCATGATCTACGACTTGCTCCATCCGAAGCATGCTAAAAACAACCTTGAGGGATTTATCTTTTTAGGTCCTGTAGCGTTCACCTCTAATCTTGGTATACCATTTATAAAAGCATTTTTTGCTCTAGCGGTATAGATTTTAATACACCATTGTCATCTTTAAATTTATCTAATTTATTCATAGAAACTAGTAGCTGCTGTTGGTGTTAAACATTTAGGAAGTAGAAATGAATTTCTCACCAAATTCTGTACGACGAATGAGTTTAAATTGAAGGCATGTAAAGAATTGATTGATGTGGGTTTCGGAAAAAGTAACCAATATCCGCCGGTATTATTTTATACTTATAATCTTAAGTGTAATAACTTAATAAATTAAATAATTTTAGGACCAATTACCTACATTAATTAGCTATTCCCTAATGGGGGAATCAATAAAACCGATTCTTCAGTACGTTCAGATGGGAAATTCCAATAATTTCGAAGCATTCGATTACGAAACACGTGGAAATTTGATTATGTATAATAGCACCAAACCAAGACAATACCACCTAAACAATATTAATTTACCAGTTCACTTATTTGGTGGGTTAAACGACAACTTGGCGCCTGTACAAGTAAGGTTTTGTATCGCATAATAAATATATATATTCACATATTTGTATTATAGAATGTTATAAAATTATCTAAGCATCTTGGACTGTGTTGCAAGCAGCTGCATTTCTCAGGTAACATAGAGGACAAGATTTGGTTCAACCACGTGAATTTCCTATACGGAAAGGATAATACCAAATTATATAACGATATATTTAAAGCAATGGAGTCTCTGAAAAATGAGAATTGCTAGAAATTATAATATTGTAAAAACAGGTATATATAAATCAACGGTTTGCTGTAATTAAATATTAATTAACTACAATGCATTAAATAGCGTTTAATTTAATTACATTTATTGTCCAACATCCACAATTTATTTCATATTGGGTCGGTAACTTTGGGATTTTTAGTGTGAAATGAAACTATTTTTTTCAAAAAGTGAACTTTAATCATTTATATATTTTGTACTTTGTTCGATGACCTTTTGTCATATTTCTGCCAATTCATGAGTCCGCGCTCATAAAATACTATTAGGGTTTACACAAAAATCTGTTTTCGAATCTTTTACAACTTAAAAAAAATCAAAATTCTATAATTAAATAAAATGTATTCCATAAAAAAAACTATATAAACGAAACGAAACAAATAACAATAAATGACTATAAATTAATATTTTATTTCTTATTTTCAATCATTTCTACAGCATTAAAGGACAAATCTAAATTTTGCATTCTTCTGTTTGTACCAAAAGAGAATTGTTACTAATCCGGTTTGTCTTCTCTCTTGAATGTGTGTCTTTGCAGCTTAGAACTAATTTCAGGTTTTGTTTTTTCAAATTACGTAATAGAATTGAAGTATGCCTTCATATGTTAATAAATTCACATATTGTCGTCCTAAAGCCTCAGTTGATAAACGTATTGGTCCTCCAACTTTAAGGAACTCTACGATTTTAGAATATTCTGCTTCATTCACTGATGTAATTATGAAACAACATATTCTTTTGAGAATACCAATATTTCTAACATGACCTCTAAACTATTCCATTTCGTTTGGCACTAAGGAATAAGACTTAATTCCTTCCTGATTTTCTGTTTGTTTCATGAAACTAAGTATTTATTAATATTCCCATTGTATGTCAAAATGTTTAGATTTTTAAGAGAAGTTGACTTTCTATTTTATTATTTTTATATAGAAATATTAATTTTTCGATTTTTTTGCATTGTTACAATAAATATTATTATTATTTAATTCATGTTTATATTTTAAATTTATACTCAAATACCGGTATTATAGTTGAAAAACTGGTTTTCGAATGATATAAATTTCTTCAAAAACTGGTTTATAGCTGGTCCTTATTAGAAAAACAAACTGTACCAAATGCGATGTCTGGTCGTCATAATTGAGTTTAACAATTTAAAGAATTTTGCAAACTTATAAATAAATAGTAATCAGAGCTATATGGGGGTTTACCACGAGTTATCAAATATGTGTGAGGATTTGCATTATTTTAGTGAAACAAGATTTGACAATTCTAGCCATTTTTCTTTGATTGTTTCATTAGTTGTTGGCAGTAAACATCTGAATTGATTCTGATGTCCTTGGATTCCTTGTTGTGTTTAATACCTTTCACATTTCTGCAATCTCTTGCATAGTATATGACAATCCGATAAAATTATGATTTTGATTTGGTCATTATAAACTTCAGTAGGTTCACCAGTATGTTGATCATCTTTGAATAAAAAATATCCAAAACGATTTTTTTTATTCCAATTTGAACACATATATTCCATTAAACAATCAATATCATAATCTTCACACATCGCTTTGTGAGCATCAGCAGTTTTCTAGCCTTTACGAAAATAAAAAAGTAAAATATGTCGAAAATGTTCGTTTTTGAACTTTTATGCAATTGGATTCAAAAATAAAAAATCATAACATTGACAGAAGTCCTTCAAAACTAACAATTTGTGAAATTACTTTCTTGTCGACCAAACAATTTTATATAGATCAAAACAAACTACAAAGAAAAATCATTAACAATACTAAATAGATGAAATGGTTGATGTTCTAACTCAGTGATGTTCTCAAAGTGGTCTATATCGACCCCCAGGGGTCGATGACAGCCTGCAAGTGGTCTACGTCAGCGAAAAAAAAATTTGGGGGTCCATGAAATGAAAATGGGGATCTACGATAGTGGATCTCAACATACACTGATAGTACCTATTTACTTACATTATACTATCTTATAATATAAAGACATACATTATTTATAAAAGTACCTATGAAGTAAAAAAATTATTATATATGTTTATAAAATACATACAATACATTTTGAAGTTGTAAAAACCTGGACATAACGTTTCCTGAATCTTAAAAAGGAAAGTGCTAAGAATGTGTGATATTACAAATTATAGTGAATCAGTATTATTTTGTTTGAGAGTGTCGGAGAAAAGTAAGTATATTATTTTTTATTAAATTTTAGTTTTATACTCGTAGTTAGCAAAGATAGATAAATTACGCGAATCATGACTTCAGTTATTAGTAGTTTAATATTCAAACATACTTCTCTATATTAAAATTTTGTATTATTGCTAAAGTGGACTGGTTCCACAGAATTTTTACACATGACAATTTGTTATTATTATTCGTTGTATAATATTTTATTTTAACATTTTTTGTCATGTTACTTTCAAATTTTCTTAAAGTTCCATCATATCAAAACCTTAAGTGACATTCATAACATTCCCCTTTCACATTCATACGACCATACGAATTAAATTTGACTTTATTTTTTTTTAATATACAGCTGCTGGACTTATTTAAATAGATTAATTTTGCCCATAGATGTCTGATGCCATGTCCGAACCTAAAAAGAAATGTAGACAGTACAGTCTTGATTATTTGAAACTTGGCTTCATTCCATCATTTTCGGACAAACAATTGCCTATGTGCCTTTTATGCAACAAAGTTTTGGCCAATGACGCTAGAAAACCATCTAAGCTGCAGGATCATCTGAAAAGATGTCAACCTGATAAAACAGATAAAGATTTGAAATACTTTCAAACACGCAAAGATAAACTTCAGAAGAGACCCACGCTGGAAAGAATGTTCGCTTCCACGTCACAAAGAAACGATGATGGTTTTCGGGCGTCTTACAATATCTCGCTACTTATAGCAAAATCCGGAAAATCGCATACTATCGGATATAAGTTAATTTTGCCAGCCGTTGAAGAGGTTTTAAAAATTGTTTTACGCAAACCTGCATCTGATATCATTAAAAGAATTCCCTTAAGCAACAATACTGTTGAAAGACGTATTGATGAAATGAGTTCTGATATTGAAATCTTCTTGTGTAATTATTTGCAAACGACCCATTTCTCTATACAACTGGACGTGTCAACTTTACCTGGTGTAATTCCAATGCAGCATTATTATTGGCATATGTTCGTTTTATTATGAATCAAGAAATCTATCAATATCAATATTTCATGTTTTTAAGGATTACTTCATTGAAAAAGCAATCCCTTTATCAAATATAATATCAGTAGCTACAGATGGAGCACCTGCCATGGTTGGACGTTATCGTGGATTTATAAGCTATTTAAAACAAAATGTGTCAGGGGTGTTACCAATACATTGCGTCATCCATCGACAACATTTAGTTGTTAAAAATTTGAGTGTTAGATTGTATGAATCTCTTAAATTAGTCATTGATGCAGTAAACCGAATCCGAAGCAACGTGTTGAATACGCGGTTATTTACGCAGTTGTGTGAAGAAAATAACGAACACTTTCATCAATTACTCCTTCGCACTGAAGTACGCGGCTGTCGAAAGGCTTATGTTTGACAAGATTTCTGGATACTAAAGATAAAATTTTAAAAGACAATTTAATGAAGTGGAAAACAGACATCGCCTATTTAACAGATTTGTTTACAAAATTTAATATGGTTAATTTGCAGTTAGAAGGCGACAGTCTAAATTTGATTAAAACAAAGTCCATCTTATCAGCGTTTCTTGCCAAAGTTAAACTAATGAAGCAAAATATTGGACGGGGCGAATTTTCCCAGTTCCCCAATTTGTCACAAACTGCCTGGAAGACGACGTTTCAACCTACGTTCAACACTTAAATGCCCTCTATTCAGATTTTAAAACTAGGTGACATAGAAGAAACGAATGTCATAATACAAGAGGAACTGATTAAACTAATTAGAAAAGAAGAACTTAAGGTTTAGTTTAAAATCGGATATCAGCAATTCTGGCTGAAAAACAACATACCCGTTACTTATCCCGTATTATGGAATATGGGGAGGAAAATTTTATTTTCCTTTCCATCGTCATACCTAGTGGAAAGGGGATTCAGCGCTGTTATGAATCTCTTAACGAAAAAAAGAAACAGACTGGACATCAATAGCCGAGGAGATTTAAGGTTAAACCTTACAAAATTGACGCCAAATATTTATAATTTATTATTAAAGCATCAGGTTCATCCTTCTCACTAAAAATAGTTTTATGTTTATTTTATGTTTCGTATATTGTATATAACATTTTATTTTAAGTAGTTTTAATTTAAATTTAATTAATAAATGTATAAAACTAAACATGTGTTTTTACTTTCAATATCAGGTAAGTATGGGGTCTACCCAAAACTGAAAAACATGACAAGGGGTCTACGACACAATAAAGTTTGGGAACCTCTGTTCTAACTCTACAAATTTAAACAAAGAAAGTTTAGTATTTGAAATATATCATAAATTACAAGATGAGTCATTATACTTTCTATATATAATTTTACGATATTCCTTCTACTTCCACCATAATATATTTTCTTTAGAAGTAAACAACTCCCTAATGATATTTTAAATTAGACAACAACTGTACTATTTCAGATTATGGCGTATTTAGTTTTGTAATTAGTAATTAGTGCGTCCTTCCTGCACTTTTAATTTATATATAGCAGTTTTTAAACAACTATTATTCGTTTCATTTAAACAGTAAATAGTTCATTTACTTGTCTTATATTCTCTAGCAGTAGCAACTGCTCACAACGATATTCATCCAAATGTTTGTAAGGAAATGAAGATGAAAATTTGATCTATTCAGATGATGATTATTCAAAGAGAACGCTACCCAGTTGAATCATATGCTGTAACAAGTAAAGATGGATACATCACTATTTTATACAGAACACCAAATAATGGTAAACCTGCATTCGTTCAACATGGAGCTGTGTCCAGTTCGGAGATTTTCGTCACGGAAAGTAACAATTCCTTGGGTATTGATTTTGCTGAAAGCTGAACAGCTAATATCTAATATCAAATTTAAAGCGTTTCAGTTACATAATCGAGGTTACGACATTTGGTTGGGAAACAATCGAGGAAGTTTCAACTCTCCAGAACATCAGTATTTACCTAAAAACTCGAGAGAATATTGGAATTACACGTAAACATTCATATTCGCTTTGGTTAAATGCGTTTCAATAAGAAATATTTGCAAATTGGATGATTTGGGTGATTATGAGTTACCTGCGGTGATCGATTTCATCGCACAAAAAACTGGAAAGAAAGAGAAGATCATATACGTGGGGCATTCACAGGGAACAACTATAGGCATCATCTACAACTTGCTATATCCGGAGCATGCGAAGGAGAATTTGGAGTGATTTCTGTTTTTAGATCCTGTAGCTTTTACTTCGCATCTACATATACCATTCGAGCACGCACTTTTTGCTCTGGCGGTATATGTTTTTATATCATTCTCACCTACAAAATTATATTATATATTTGTAGGATATACTATATAATTTAAATGTTACGCATTTTGGAAGTAGAAATGAGTTTCTCACCGAATTCTGCTCGTCCAATGAGCCTACTTTAAAATTATGTAAACATTTGTTTGATTTAGCATACGGAAATAGTAATCAATACTCACCGGTATTGTTTATAATTTACAAACTTAAATGTATTGATTTAAGAAATTAACATATTTTAGGAGCAAATACCTACATTAATTAGCTACTCTTTAATGGGAGAATCCATGGAATCGGTCAGGCAGTACGTTCAGATGGGGGAATCCGATAAATTCGAAGCTTTTGATTATAACACACGTGGAAACATGATTAAGTTCAGTGGTGAGACACCACGAGAATACAATTTATCACAAATTTACCAGTGTACTTGTTTCTTGCTTTAAATGACAATTTGGCGACTACTGAGGTAATGCTTATGTTAGATATAGTAGACATAGAACACATATTTTTATTTTAGAATGTCGAAAAATTACAAAAAGGGCTTGGATCGTGTTTCCAGAAGTTGCCAGTTCCAGAAGTTTCCAGAAGTTACATTTCAGGTAACGAAAAAAGAAAGTTTTTTATAATCATATGAATTTCCTGTACGCAAAAGACAATACCGAATTATTTAACAACATGTTCCGTGCGATGGATTCTTTGAAGTATGACGTATGCAACAATTAATGCAACTTTAATAAACACATGTTTATAATATTGACCGTTGGTTGTAATAAAATGTTAATGAATTGCAATGTATTAATTAGCGTTTAATTTAATTGCATTTAATTAAGAGAATCACTATGGACACGACCGACATCCGTGATCTATTTTCAATTTTAGAGCGGCCAGACGAAAAAAGAAGATGCTCCGAAAAACAGAGCAACAAGAAAAAGCATGTTTATTGATTAAGCAATTCGTCTGTAGTGTATATGCAATAATTGAATGCAAAAATCGGGCACTAAAGGTTAACAATAATCTACTTCTAAACGTTTATCGCGTCCAATTTTGGCCCCAGAGTCTAAACAATAATTATGCCAACTTATCACTATTTCTCTACGAAAACAAAATCGTACGAAGCACAGTGCTTATATTTTTTCTTTCGTTTCATTTTTACTTCATGTGGTTTGATGCAGAGAAAAACATGAATTTCGCAAACCTCTTTTTGGATGCTAAATATATTTAAAAACTGCAAACTCATGCATAAAGATCACAACAAGCATATATCTACATAAAAAATTAGAAATAGCAACAATCCAATATTTTTTATGTTTATTTTTAATTGTCATTGCCAAAAATGCGTATTTCGTAAACCTCTAAGCAGTTTAAAAACTGCAAACCTATTTCTTATAAAAGTATGCCAATAGTCTTGTTCAGCTTCGGTGGAAGGGTACGTATCTTGTCTGTTGGACTGGTGTCCTATTGTGCTGATTGCTTAGTGGCGCCAATAGCCCTAGTTTTTCTTAAATGTATTTATTCGCACCTTTGGATAAATTGTTACAACAATGATTTTCAAACATCATAATACATATCTAGTACCTAAAAATATTAAGAAAGATCTAAATATTTAACTTTTTCTTATTTCCATTTTATTGCGGAGTTCTGTCCAACAATATTGTCATATATCCTTTAATATCATTGAGAAATGTGTAATTAATAAAATTGCACTTATTTTATTACAAATAAACAACAATATTAAGAAATACAATTATTGATTACTAAGATATGTTTATGTCTTTTTTTATTAATTAATTATTATTTTATGTTTAAATAATCTCCTGTATGGAAGTGAATAAATCAAATCAATTAGAGAAATTGAAAAACAGAGTCATTAAGATAATAAAATTAATAAATTAAGTAACATTAAATAGTGATATGATGCGAATAAAATGTCACAATATACTATACGTGTTAATGTGCAGATGAAAGTCAAAAGGATATGAAATGATTAATTGGCAACAGTTAAGAAAACAAACCAAATAAGAAATAATATTTTCAATTGTTACAATCACAATCGCTACGTTTTTCTAATTTTTTTTTGTGAGTTTTTATTTACAATCTATTTTACTGTTCGTTATCGACATTAGGAAATTGTTGCCCAGTGACACCATTCTATAACGTTTTTATGTAATATTTATTTATTTATTCTTTACTTAAATCTAAATTGGAGATCTAAGGGCTTAAAGCGCTTTAATCTTCTTGTTGTCACGCCGTTATCGAGAAGGTTGACCGGGTTTGTATGCGAATTAAGCCTGTGTATTGTATTTTTTTTTTAAATCTTCTAATACATTTAGATTGAAATACTTGGATTTTTTAATATTAGTTGAGCTTGCTGTTGCCTATAATTGGATACCGTATGTCCAAACTAGTAATAATATGACTTTGTACACTAGCAACTTGTTCTCCAAAGTCAACTGCAAATTTGTGCGCAGCAACCAATACATCTTTCTAATTTTTATATTTTTAAGTATAGGTTGATTTTTTTTCGGAGAATGATGAATAAAAATCACAATGATAACATGTCCTTACTTTATTTGGTTCATACAAATATGCCATTACATTGATCCACATTATACCAAAAAAAGGTTGAGCAAACATAGGGAATAAAACTATATATAATAAACTATATTGTCTACTTTAAAATATTAAAGCTTGTCTTCAATAATCATATTTGAACCACCATTTTTGTGTAATTAATATATTAAAAAAATCATTAATTTATAAAATAATATTGATCATGGATCTGTATGTTACTAAATAACATCAATAAGTGCAGAAAGGTCAATCAGGTCAATAGCCCTTCGCATCAGTTGACTTTTTATTATATTATTTTTTATTTTATATTTTTTATTGTTGCAACAAATATAATTATTAATATTAACATCACTAATTAAATTATTTTCAATTGAAGTCCAGCAATAAATGAATGTATTTATTCATAAAATTATTAGAAAATTATGATAAATAAAATAGTTGACCTAAGTGAAACTGAGTCACGGTCTCAAAATACATTTATACACACGTGTATGTTTACTGAACAAGTAAAATTTTAATTTTATTAATCCGAACATTGAATCATTTTAATTTTTAATTTCCAAGCTCATACAGAAAAACCCGTATTATTTTACAAATTAACTTAGCACACACTTATTTCTTAATTATTTTTTAACATGAGACTTGTTTTTCTTTATTTATTAATTCTTAAATTTATAAAAAAAAAATGATTTACTTAATGTGACCTTGACTTTAGACCAGTGTTTCTCAGCCGAAAATTGGAAATTAGAATATTTTCAAGAATAATTATGTTACCTTTCTACGTATAAGAACCTCAGAGTGAAAATACACTGGAACCTCGCTAAACGAGTTTAATCCGTTCCAAAATTCCTGGATTTTTACTCGAGTATTTCACTAGTATAGTGAAACATATTAAAAAATGCACATAATATGTATATACAAGTTTTAAAAATGATGTAGCAGGCGCGCAATCCGAGACTTCACTTCTCATCGTCACTCGTTATGCGAAACGTCGCTCGTTTAGCGAGTCATTTTCCTTTTTGTTTTATTATTTATTTCTAATTTTTGCATATAACTTGGAGTACAATTCCATATTTAAAATGTTAATTTCTTAAAAAAAATCATGTTAATGGTTTCCAAAATTAATTTTTTTGACTTTATTACTACGCAGTATTTTAAAAATAAAAAAAAAATACCTTCTTAAATTAATTCTTTTTGGAATAAGATTTATTCATAACTTTTAGAGATATCTGAAATAACAATCATTGCGAAATAATCTAAAGAGGAAACTCATAATGATTCTTATAGATGAAAGCAATACACTGCAATGTGTAAACTAAATTAGTGACAGAAAAACCTTGTTGAGACAAATAATTGACTAATAAAATCTAATTATTATATTCGTATAATGTTGTCTACTTCAGATTATGAAATGAAGCGAAATTGAAGTAATTTGAATATTGTATATTACACAAGAAATAAATTTAAATAAAACACATAAAATTCAATGGTTCACCACATGATTCTTCTTCATATTTATTCAATGCCCATGTCAAATTTACATTTGTTACTATCTTATTTAAGATTCAAGTTATATGTTTATTGCAGTTTAATTCAATTGGGTGCAAATTCGCATTATTGATACACCGAATATAATTGTTATTAGTATATAAAAATAAGTATTTATATAAATATATACTTTCACTATTTGTACCCTAAGATTTAATATGAAACAACATTAGATATCGGAATTGGTAAAACTTTAGAATAATGACTTAAATACTTAAAAGACAAACAATAATTTTCATAAAGTTTAAACGCCGGAATGAATTAAAATAAATTAATACAATAATTGTAATTTAATTTAGGATCATGATTAGAATTCGGTACAAAAATAATCTTGATCCAATTGTTTCATATTAGTTTCATTTATATTTTTTCACATTGCAACTTTTCAAAATATATATTTTTTGCTACCTCCAAACAGTTTCTATTCTCAATATGCATATATTTTTTTCTTTACGTTTTTTTCGATGTCTATTCGTATTTTCGCAAAACAAAAGTTGGACTTTCATGCATTTAACTGATGCACAAACTTATCGGACAAATTTTTAAAAATATTTATATATATATATATATACTATTTAAAAAAAAACAACAATAAAACAATAGAATTCTTAATTAAATCATATAAACAATTCGAAAATACTGTATGAAAATGATGTAAATTTCTTTTGTAAAGTATAAATAAAATGGCAGTTTTCAAATAACAAAATTGGCACATAAAAAAATAAAATTTTCTTTTCTTGGAAGGATTAAATACGTTCATTCAAACGTTTACTATAGTTACATTGCCAACGTTGCACGCGACGACTGTCACGTGGTCGAGTTTTCCGGGAAGATTTTGAACGCGTTCCAAGCCCCTCTTCCTACGCATCTTTTTTTCCTGGTGAGATACTTCGACCAGAAGACCATTCCGATTGTCAAAGTACAAATCATTATCCTCCAGGGTTCGTCGTTTAGCGTTCGTTATGCTCACCGTGAAACTTATCAAATTTTCGCAGAGTCGTTTCGCAGTCACGCATTGATTCTCTTTGCCCGAAATGCCTCGTTTTAGAATATCCTCGATCATCAGAAGGGTCAACTCGTAGCGCTGCAACGGTGTAACGTACGGCATTCCGTCCGGATTCCTCGGAATTGCGCGACTTCGGAGATCCAGAGAAGTTTTGGAACGTAAAAAGTTATACCTGTTATCGTTCTGGGGCGTAGGTTTACTTTGACCCTGTGGGGATCGGTCGCTGTTGGTTCGTTGAATAGGCTTGGTAATTTCAGGTTTTCTGACGGCGACAATTGGTTTCTGACTAGGCTTATTCTCTTGACTAGGCTGTAGAGCGTTATCCTTCATGAATTGTTCGACCAGTGGATCGCCAGTGGATGAAGAAGCTGTTGCAGGTTTTAGTGGTTTGGAGGTAGTAGTTGGTTTATTCGTCGTCTCTGCAGATGGAGGCGGTGCTATTTTTCTCGGAGGTTTAATAGGTACCTTCTTTGGTGGCGGTCTTATTTGACCCTGACTGGGCTTCCTAACTTTAGGTGGATCAGTGTTCACCGTAAACTTGCAAACGTTAGGATCGAAATTATCTGTTAAACCATCACTGGCCACCAAGATGATATCGCCTTTTTGAATTGTAGTAATCGACAGCGTTAAATTACTTAACTCTGGATTAATCCCATCCACTGGACCTAAAGCCCCCAAAGCGTCTCTCATATCCCGATTGCAATTGATATCATGAGATCCTAAAACAAAAAATGTAAATAAAATAATCGTAATGTCCAAACCAGCAAATACCTTTAGTCAATTCCCGAACTCCATACTTTTGAGAATACACGTAGGCGAGGGTATCACCTACGTTGCATACGCAGCATATATAATTTTCAATGGTAGATCCTTCGGTTCTACGAACATTGCTTTGCTTTAGAGGAAGTACCACGGCCACGGTAAGAGTTGTGAGCATCCCTTTGTTTTCTAAAATGAGATCGTGCGCACAATTGAACGCCCGTAGAAGACACACGAACACTTCGCGCGTGTTTCCGATTCGAGATTCGTGCACTGGTGTTTCCGATTTCACGCTGCCTTCCTCCGATTTTACAAGATTATCGAACGGTTTCGTGTCTTGAAATATCGTTTTATTTAAATAATGCAAACATCCGTGAATTGCCGATTTAGCTGCTATACTCGCCTTTTCACCTGACAAAATATAATTAAAGTATAGTGTAAAATATAATGTAAAATTTATTATATTCCAACCCCAATTTACTCCATCAGCTACCGCCAAAATTGCGGAATCATTACGAGCGATAACTCCGAAGCAATCGGCGATCGGTTCGCCGTTCTTCGTTTTCGTGATGAGGTTTTTATCGTACAACGAGTCGGAAAGTCCATAAACATGTTCCGTTTTATGATTCCATTCCTGAGGTAAATTTACGTCATCTGAAGCTGTCGATGACGTGTTCTCCTTGTCGCTGACAGCATCAGCTGAAACATTACAAACTCTAATTAATATTAATATCGTAAAGGAATGGCCAAACAAAATAAAATCATATAAAACTGAGAAATATCACAAGAAGATATATACAAAGCAAGAAATTATTTAAAATAAAACACATGCAAGAAGCCCAAACAATTACCAACAGGACGTTGAGCAAGTCTCGTGATTTTCCCGCGTTTCTTATGATTGAACGGGTTCCCTTCACTTTTCGATTTCGCCAACGCGAACTTCTTTTGAGCTACGTCCGCCTCAACGGCACTACTTCCGCCACCTTCAACAATACCTTCACCACATATCTGTTCAGGCTCTTTACTACTAGTACTACTATCACAAAATATCACCACCCGCTCAATTTCATCACCGCTACCGACGTTATTATTCTCTACAGTTTGGATCACTTTAGTCGTGTCGATTTCGACACCGAAATCCTTTAAGCTGCCCAAGCTCTGGCTTTTCCCATGCCCCGTCTTCCTGCGATTAGTGACGTAATACTCCTGTCCCGCCACCTTGATCACCATTGTCGTATTATCCAAGGGAAGATCGCTATTGCGATTCGGAGATTTTAATGGTGGTTCGACAGGTGATGGTTTCTGTTCTGCTGGAAAATATAAATGAAAACCCACATACACAAAATAGCACAACAAGAATATTTCACACCATCTGCCATCTAGTTAAAAGGATTAAATCAAATGATTGTTCAAGAGCGCAAAGATGAGAAGAGTGACAATTACTTATAATTAATATATAGTAAGAGAACGAACGATTACATGATTGTAAATAGGGTTAGCTCATAAAACAAATGTTTATACCGCTTGCTTCATCTTGGGTATCGATGAAGTCAATGTCCTGGTCCAATACTGATAGATGCTTTTCGCTTCTTTGTACAGTGGTGAGACCACCATGTGGACCTGTATAGCAACCGACTATACTACTTGATCCCGTCTGGTAGGTACCCAAATCATAATTAGGCAGATCCGTCGGATTTTTCCCATATATAATAGGAGGTCCATCTCTCAAACGAATTTGTCTGAAAATGAAATATATTATAACATTTGCAACGAGATCAAATATCAACACTTACCCCTGTAAATATTTATTGATAAATGTATTCTCTATAAAGTTATGACGTTTTTCTCGAGGTTCATTATGAAAACTGAGCTGCCTGAAGTAACTTGAAACGCGTTTACGTAATGACGGCATAACTGAAACAACCTTAACTACATTTAAATATATATAATTCATAGAATATAATCAAATAAAAGTATAACTTCTTCAAGTTTTTTTTATAAATCATAAATCCTTCAAAATGATACATTCTTCAATATAATGTTTTTACTTAAAATATAATTACTGTAAAAGATAAAACATTAAAAACATATTTTGTAAAATCTTTATAATTAACAACAAAATAGGACAACCAAAGCAATCTATTAGAAATGTAGAGCTCAAAACTCTCAATAATTTAAAAGGGTTGAAAATATCACTATCAACGTAACAATTGAAATGACTAAAAGTAAATTCCATTTATTCTTGTATTGATCATTTCTCATTAATAATAGATGCATGTTCTTTAATAATTATTTATTATTTCATTATATTGCCATGGATTGTTTACAGACACCAATTTATTTTTATTTACTTTTTACATGTCTATATACATTTTGTTATTGACTGAAACCATATACATCTCCTCTACTACTTATAAGTCATCTATAACTGAAAAGCGTTGAACTGTTTATTTAATGAAATACGCAAATAAGCGAACTTCTGGATATTTCTTTAAAAGCTAACAACGTAATTGTTGATGTCATATATTATATATAATAACAAAACGTAAACTGACCTCAGCTGATGTAAACTCGATTATTTTTAGTCCTTTTTGACCTACCTTTGCATGAAATGGAAATCTAATGTCAGCAAGATTCTATAACGAAGTGGATTTGCACGAATTGTTTGCACAACATTGTAAACAGTAACTGTTTACAAACGGAACGAAACGAAAATAGTAATAAAGTTGACAAGCCAGATGATGATCAGCAGTGATAAACTGGGCACACCCCACGAATAAATGACAACTTGACTTGATGATGATGCCTAGAGATACTTGAAGTTAGCTACTGTACTGTAATTTATAATGAACATTAATTCAACATACAAGAATAAAGCTACTGATCCGAAGCTTATTGAAACACTGGCTGGCTAACGGGCTTCTAAGATGATAGTGAATAATGCTTTCACGACATTGAAATTTATTTATGCCGTTTCCATTCTACATAAATAATAGCTTAAGTAAAATAAACAACAATTAAAGATTCAACAATTTAGACTAAGTTATCTAAAATAGCCTCTTAATATAAACAGCATCCAAAAATAAAAGTTTGATAAAAATAGGAAGGAATAAAATGAGATTCAGAACTATCTAAAATAGAAAAACGTTGCGTTATAGACTATTCCAGAACTATCAAGTATGGATGGTTGTCTATAAAAAAAATATGGAAAACTATAATTTATTTTGCAATTCAAATTTAAACAACTTAAAATATGTAAATATTTTCTTCATATTGTACTGGAAAAATTGCAGCTTATGACAATACATTTTTGATATAATGTATAATGAGCGTCATTGAGAGGCCAATGTATCAATTTCAGTTAGTGGTTGACCTCAACAGCAACAACGTTTTGACGAACTTCAAACGTCAAAGTTAGTATAGAAACTGTGATTAAAGGTATCGCTTCATTTACAAATCATTCCTTTATCTGTTCCAGTGGGAGACGACCATGAGTCGTTGTTAAAGGGTTTCGAATATTTTGACTGAAAGGATTTAACCTAAAATTGCCTTTAAATAGTAACAAAGCAGTGTGAAGATGCCTTCTTCAAGTGGAATCCAAAGTCCATGGTTCATGCTAGGTGCTGCAGTTGTGGGCCTTGTCAGTGCTGCTGGAATGATACTAGCAGAACATTTAAAGCAGGAGCGGAAGCGCCACTCAATGACCCAGGAGATGGCACGGATGGACAAAAAAATATCCAGTTTAATAGGGCAAGTGGAAACCCTGCAACGTAGCCAATTGGAGCAGAAGTAAGTTGGATAGAACTTTAGTCCCACCACATTATCTATTATTTGTATTATATGCATACCTTCATCTACAAATGAAATATTAAAAACATAGATTTGTATTAAATTAAATGAAGGATTTAGAATTTTAGGCAAACTTTATAAAACTAGTAAATATAGTGTGTCTCTGTGTAACCACCTGAAGGGCCAAACTTTTGTGGTGGCAGTTTTTTTAAGAAAACTATTGTAAGTGAATTTCACATAATAATGGTGATTAAGCACATTTAGAATGCATCTATTTTTTTGACTAATTCATAAGCTGTTCAATCTCATAATTAATAGATGAAGTTATTTACTAAATAAAATAACATACAAATATGGAAGAAATGCACACACACACTACACACATGTAATCAAGCACTGCTTTGTTTTAAATTTATTTTCTTAAAAATAAAAAAATGGGCTTAATTGGTGATCATATCTGATAGTAAAAATTGTTTATTATTAGTAATTTTTTTTTATTTTTAGAAATTGTACAAAGCCAAAGGGTAAAAGGAGAAGGCACATTTCCATGCTTTCAACTACAACTACTGATGACTATGCAAGTGCTTTGGAATTAGATAGTTCTGACCTTGAATTTTATGATATAAGTGATGAGGAAAATTCAAAAGCTAGCACAATTACCCCACTGGATAATGTAAATAATAAAATTTGAAATATAGTAACATATTTGTCTTTAATGATATTTTTTAGGTACTGAAAGAAATTGATGAAAAATTGGATTCAGGCCAAAAGATCTATTTGGAAGAAGCTCAAAGCAAGCTTCAGAATCTATGCTACGAATTTCCAGAATGCCCAGATCTTCTATGGCGGATAGGGAAAGGGATGCACAAATTATGCTTACTAAACGATAATGTACAAGAGAAAATGGAAATCATAAGCAAGGGTCTTGATGCTTGTAAACAGGCTTATAACTTGAGGAGCGAATGTGGCGATACGCATAAGTGGATTGCTATATTGACGGGCGCCAGGAGCGAACATCAGGGTTTGCGGGACAAAATCAGGGACAGTGTTGAGTTCAAGAAACACTTGGATCTAGCAATAAAACTGAAGCCAGAAGACGCGACTCTCTATTACCTCTTAGGTAGGTATATGATGGAAGTGGCAGCGCTGAAATGGTACGAAAGGAAAGCTGTAGCAACTCTATTCGAGGAGTTACCCACAGCCACCTACGAAGAGGCCATTATACAATTGAGCAAAGCTGCTGAACTGAATAATAACTGGAAAGAAAACAAGTTGGCATTGGCCAAGTGTCATATCGGCCTAGGTGATTATAGCACAGCCGTCAGTCTGCTGGAAGATGCCGATAAAATCAAAGATTCAGCTGCAACGGTATGTTTACAATTTAATAATATTCACTCTATTTCCACAATAATTACACAATTAAAATATATAATTATTGATCATCGATAATATAAAGCAGGTTTCAATTTAACCAAGTTAAAAACATTTTTTATACACATTTTGTACATTACACTTCCTAAATCAAAAGCGAATCGAAATTCAATCCAGTTTCTTTTCTCATTTGTTTCCTTTTATGTTTACATAATTAACAATACATTCGACCATGGGGAAACATGTCATTCGTTTGGAATGCACCTATAATTCATACTTTAGTAACGTATTCGTTGCGTACAAATCCTTATAAAAACACGTAGTTAAAAGTAACAATATAATGTTTCTTTTTATTATTACTATTATTTTTGTTTGTTTTTCAGACGGGTGACGATGTCGATGGGGAAGTGAAGAACCTTTTGACAAAGTACAGCTCCTATCGGTAGAATAGTTTCCAAGTGTGCGTGCGTTTTCATTAATTTTTTCGTCATAGGGGATGTAGTGTCGCTATTTTTTATACTCGAAACTTTTCTACCATTCCTTTTTCACGTGATGTATAGGTTTTATAAGCATTTGAAAATTAAATAATTTGCTGAATTAGTCCATTTATCCAAAAAAAAAAAGATTGTTTGCTGCACTTGTTATATTATGGAAGCACGTAATTTTAAAGTGTTTATTTTTTTAAATATAAATCTTATTTGTGAACTATTATACATGAAGTAGTAATTGTGAGCTACATCACTGAGTGTATTTATATTGTTTTAGAATATATGTGTACTGGGCATAATTACTATATTTCTTCTGTTTTTGGTTGTATACGTGCAGTTCCACCCACTTTATTAATCAATTTTTCTTTAGGATTGTTGAATGTAATCTATTTTGTTATTAATTGTCTCATCGTGAGTTCTCAATATTTGTGTTTTTAATGAAAATATATTTTTAGATGAGCGATGCTTAAGAAAAACAAACAATTGGTATTTTTCTGTGATATAAGGCCATCATCATTTTTTGAACTCCACCCGCTGATTCTCCATTAAACTTTTGTTTTATTATTTGTCGATTTGTATACATTTCATTTATATTTACTTTTATTTAATTTACGTATATCGCGAATTATTACTAAATAGGTAGCAAGTTTGAAGAGATAGTGATCCTATAACCATTAAAACCAACCTTAACAACACTTCACTGTTTAAATTTACTCAATCTTCAGAAACAACTAAATTATATATCAAGAAATCGTTTCTGAAATTAATGATTACAATGTTAAAACCTATTTACTAAATCTTAAGAAACAACTAAATTAGTTTATCCGAAATTAAGTAATACATTGTTGAAACCTAAATAATGCTAGATTAAAGATTCATCATCAACATGGGAAGTATTTATATGTGCGGTGTCAAACATTTGTTACCGTTCACCCATCAAGTAATATCCGCGACACACGTTGCATAACTTATTTAAGCAGTGAAACATCGAATACCTGTCTGATGTTTTGATTTACAGATTTAATTAGTTTAATAACATAATCGCTCAATCCGGTCGTTTACATCTGACTAATATTACATCAAATCATTTCTACATATTCACACTCGGCTTCCGTTGGACGGATGGTTGATCCGATGGGAAACAATCTTTATGTAGACAGAAGACATTCTTGTAACGATTTAGTCGCATAAATAGCAAACACTTTGATTAATTCATTCATTAAATTCATACGATTGTTATTTCAGAACATAACGTCAAATGTGTATTACCTATTCATAAGCCTTGAATGTACAGTCAAGAACGCCGGATAAAATGGTTAATGGATGAACATAATGCGTATAGAAATAACCATTGTAAACAATTGAAGATCTCGTAACATCATTTAATCAGCTTTATTCATGTTTTCCTGCTTTAACTTAAGTTTCATTTATTTATTTACTTTTCTTTAAATATTGATAATAGATTCTTTTTAACTTTTTTTTCTTCGTTTTTTTTTACTCATTACACAACATACAATTAAATTTTTCTCATCTAAATTTTCCGCTTTCCACTCTCGGTATATGCTTTACAAAGGAATTACAAATAAAGAAAAGCTCGCCTCCCCCACGTTACATAACAATGGGATAAGTAAGAAAACAGAGAATATAGAAATTAACAGAATGGCGCATTTGGAGAGAATAGTGCTACCAGTGATAGCGTTTGATATTGTCGGCGTGGGAGAGATACATTACGAAGTTAAAAAGCGCATGGAGAAGCAAGCTTCGCCGCATTTCAATGGATAATTAAGTTTAAAAAACAGAAGATTAAAAAAAAACAAAATCAGGTCCGTTCGAAAACATTTAAATAAGGTTTCTTTTATTTTTTTTAGTATTTCATTAACGATTTAAAATTAAATTTCAAAAGTTTGAATCCGAAAATCTCATACATATATACGTTTGTTTCGCTAAATTAATTTCAGTTAATTAAAGGTATCTGTGTACAATTATGGATAAATATATGTACACAATTGGAGCCCTACGCTCAAGCCTAGGGTGGAACGAACTTAAAAACACTGTTGCCTATCTCGGATTTTAAAATTTGTCTCTTCCTCGTTCGGCTTTGTTTCACATCATTTTTTGAGCTTTAATTCAATCCTCAATCAATATTTTTTTCTTCCGTAAAAATATTGCTTCGTTATCAATAATGATTTTTTCTTCTTCACTTTTTTAAGAATTAATAAGACTAGTACAATAATTATTTGTAAAAAAATATATACATGAAAATTGCATTTCTTCTTCCCTCGTTTCTCATGATACATAAGAAAAAAAATTAGTTGAAGTATTATTTTAATAAACAAGTATCTAAAAAAAAATAATAAAAAAAATGTCCATTTACTGTTACAACTTAACTCCTCTCTCATATAGTATTGTTCATTACATATATATTGGAAGAAACGCAACGTAAACAAAAAAATTAAATAAATTAAAAAGTAAAAATCTTAATGTATATATATATATATATGTATGTATCATATACAAACCGCTTATATAAATTAATATTTCTTTTAAACTAATAACCGTTTTATTATTCTTCTCATTTTAATTTACGTTTTCTGTTTTTTTTTTCTTTCCTCTTGGTAATTTCTCTTGGATTCACACTCGCTTCTTTTGGTACTTATAGTATGGGCAGCATTCGAGCAATGTGAAGTAACAGCTTTAGCGCGTTGCTCCACAACTGCCTTAAGGGCGCGCAACGCAATGTGAGGAAGTGCCACAACGTTAAGACGGTAATGAATTGCGTTATCCTATAAACCCATAACAGTTTCGCTATGCTTCTTCTCGCCTTGGGAATCGTAGCTGCGTCTTCTTTAAATATAAACCTTCGAACAAAAGGGACATATAAATATTAGTACATTTATGGATAAAATGAGATGCAAATTGAATTGGGATTTAATTAAAGTAGATATCTCATGCAATGCAGTTTCAATTTTTAAAATGAAATATTGATTGAAGTCGGACTAATTGAGAAACGCACGACAATTCTGAATATTTTTTATGATCGTACTTATTCCATCAATACTATAATGATTTTTCTTTTATTTATATTAAGAACTATAAGACGTACCACAAATTTATGGGACAATAATAAAAATATAAATGTAGTTTAAGACACAACTATATTCTAGGTTGATTTATTTATTTAAAAAGGTGTGTCTTATGGTGTGAAAAATAAGGTGTATTTTTTACCTTCTAATTCCTAAGACATAATGTTTAATAAACTCATCCCAATCGATTTGGCTGGCATCAAAGTTGAATTCGCGCCTGTCCGCCTCGCTTAAGGATAAACCTAGTTGCCTGACATTCGTGTCGTCAAAGACCCATTCGTGGGTGGTAAAGTAGTCCAAACAAGTAGAAGCTTTTTGCAGCTTGTCCTGAATTTTCAGCATGCTGCAGAAGAATGAAAAGATTACAACATTAGTTGATGAAAAGAAAAATTCCGATAATACTCACATAGGTTTTCCACCGCAGATCCACGTGAAGGCATCGATAACGTAGGCAGGAAACCAGTGCAGAACGTACTGATTGAATGTGTCGAGTGCAACGGAAGAGGTTACTGTGCCACTAGGATACCAAGTCACATCAGAAAACGGATATATTCTCATGTACTTGAAGCAGAGCTCAACAAAGGATCTCCACGATATTGGCTTTCTCTGGCCCGTGCAGCAATTGTAGATCGGGATCTCTTTCGTCTTGCACGAGCCGACCTTCCATCCTGCAGCGAGCATCAGATTGATCACCAGGTCGACAGGCACAAGGTCGGCGGTCTTTTCCGGATGGCAATGCATGGACCGGAACACCCCCTTTCCCGCTGCTGCGATGATTCCTGTCGGACCATTCCAGTTGTCAACCCATCCCTTCAGAGGCCCACCGTGACTGCTTATCACGATGCTAGGCCTCACGATTACCAGCGGAAGATCGCCTTTGTTTTCCTTCAGCCATGATTCAGCCAACGCTTTTGTAAAGGTATACGTATTCGGTCGCTTCCCAACGAGTATAGGCGTCATCGCATCGACGAGTGATTCATCAAGTGTATCCACAAGGGACGTGATCTGATCGGGACTTATCGATGGATTGTAAATTTTCTCATAAATTTCTGTCTTATCACAATTACAATACGTTGTGGACACATGAATCTTTAAAATAACAAACAAAAATCGAATTTATCATCGATTCAAGAGTTAACATAATTAAAACTTACCAGTGCCTCGAGGTTTGTCATCTTCTTACAAAGTTCTATAAGGCGTTGTGTTCCCAGCATGTTTATGGTGACGGACAACTTTAATTTTTCGTCAAATTTAACAGTGGCTGCACTATGGAAAACTACGTTTACTGTGCGACTCAACATCACTCTATCGTTCACACTGATGGCCAGATTCGGTTGCGTAATGTCTCCTTCGATCGGCAGAACTTTGCTTAAATCGCCGGGTCGTTCCTTGCGGAGGATATCGAACAGCTAGAATATAGAAAACCAACATTATTTCCATTATGCTTACGCAGAATTATTGCATGTACTAACCGGTGACGATAGCAGTTGCTGAAGACGATCGTGAGCGTTCTGGCCCTTTTTGTATCTGATGAGGAGATAGATTGCAGCAACCCCGGAACAAGACCTCAGCAGCTTTTCCAGCAGTACCTTCCCCATGAAACCGGTCCCGCCGGTGATGAAGACGGTTTTACCATTGTAGAAATCTGCCACTGAGGTGGTGGTTGTCGTCAGGGTGGGAAGAGCGTTCTGAACCTCCATCTTATTCCCACTGTCCGTCTGCGTTCCAACCATTTATTATACAATATGATCAACAACAAAGTCAAAAACACCGAATTGCGCAAACAACTAATTAACTGTCCTCTTGAATGTCTTTTCTGCTTAGCGTACTTGGAAGCGTAATATTTATCTGGCTTTTCCCCTTTTCTTTACACGTATATTTATATAAATATTTAAATGTGTATGTGTATCTTTTGTAATTAATTCATTAATTCAACATTGTCTTGCCAATATTATCCTTTGGAAATCTAAAAAAGAGAAGAAAGTAAATAATTAGTGCAATCGATTCGTGACGATCAATTTTTCATTAACCAGAAAGGAGTGAGAACAAATAAAAAATACGGATCGTGTGCAATTTAGTGAACGAAGGGAATTAAAGGCGACCTACTCTCTCTTCACCAGTTTGATTTTAATAATATACGTGCATGCAAACATATTTATTTAAAAATAATATTTTTGCATACATTATTTCACCATATATTTATCCAGCAATTAGTAATTATTAATTACTTAAGCATAGTCAATTTGTATTAAAAGTTCTTGCAAATACAGTACTATACTATTTAACCAATAAATTATTTCCTACAAAGCGGGAGTGCTGTATGTTTATTAGTCGATTTTTGATTTTGATATCTTCTATTTGCTCAAATAAACCTAGAGCATTAACTTCGTCAGATAAGATTAAAGCAAATGGATCTTGGAAAAATTATGATTTCATTTTTCCCGATGTAGAAAAATCTCAATTTGTATAACCAGCGCCCATGAATTTAAAGTACTAACCTTAACTGGTAACTACACTAGTTCTTTTCAAAATGATGCAAAGAAGTCAAAGATTCGGTATCAATTAAAGTATCTTCATTCATTGGCTATTATATGGTAATTAAGTAAAAAAGTTTTAGCAAAAAGAAAATCCGCTATAAATCCGGTTCCGTGAATTATAATTTCAAGAGCGGATCAAGGTCACTATGTTATACTTTACCGTTTCGATTTACGTCTGCGATCTGCAGAAATCCAGACCCGTTAATTTCGATTCAAGAGATGATATAAAGAGATTTGATTTAATTTTAAAAGCTTACCACCGAAAATCTAATTAGATGAAGATTATGGTCAATTTGATGGCCCTTTTAGAGACCAGTTTCGTGGATAATATCGGGATATGAATGAGAGGATCGCACTCGTTGATTCATTATCCACACTAGACTAGGAGTAGAGGATTAACAACGCACACTAAAATTGAATACGCCGAGACCGAATATAAATAATACGATAAAAAGTCACCAGCCGATAGGGGGTCTTCAAAATTCATTTACATGTCGCGGAAGAGATGCGCGCCTCCAGTTCTTATCTCAGTTAAGTGTGGATGTTGAGAAGAGAACAGGTACTGAAGAAATATATTGGTTACTGGGGTACCTGCATATGGGTCAGAGGCTTCGTCATGCGCAAGTTCATTGACACAGTACCGTTACCTCTACCTTCACACGTAAAGAATGTAACAACAACACTCTCTTCTCGCTCTGAGGAGAGAAAATTTATGAATAAGCGAAACCATTCCAAAATGGGAAGATACTTCTGACACGGAAATTGTCAACAAGGAAGATGTCGTTTGGACTAATTAAATTAGGACTTGTCTGTTATACATTTTTAGATAGGGGACTTTTGCATTCTGGACTACCATTAGATCATTCTATCGTCAGCAGCACTTTCAATTGATAACTCCAAAGAGTGAAATTGTAACCAGGAATGCGCTTTGTGTACTAATCAAATGCATTAAATACACTGAATGAGCTTTTCCTCCTCTGTATTTGCATCCACATGCACATTAAACGCTCTCAAAACACACTTAATTCTCTACGATGGTAATATCTACACGTACATCTTAAATATACAGTCGAAATGCTACTACCTTTCAGTCTACGCAACATTCATATATTACTGATTACAGTCACATCTCAGAGGAATGTCAAAACCATTCGAGAATGATTGCTTTCGTGATTAATTGAACTTAAAGTAACGAATTGCTCATCTGAATATACATTCCTATTATAGATTGACAGACATCAATAGAATATTAAATCAAGGCCTTCTCTTAATGAAGTTATACTACTAGTTATCTTTTTTTACCAACAAATCTACCATTTTGTAAAGCTTAAAATGATTTGAAAAGTTACAATAGTACTAAGATCAAGGAAATATTAAAATATATATACATATTCTAAAAGATTTTTCTTTAGTAAATAAGAAACAACTAAAACGCTGATGTTTAATAATAATAAAAATGTGCAGAGTCAAATAAAAACTCAGGGATACATCGTAAAATCTGCCCGAAGAATGCTTCTTGACCCAGTTCATTAATAATCAATGGGAATCTTCACTTACTTGAATTTCGCTGCACTTTGTATAAATAATAATAATAATGGAGCGAGGAGACTTTCTCGAAGCAAATCTATATTTCGACTGAATGCACATCAACTTGTCACAAATACGAAAGTAAATTGCAAACGTAATTAAATATTCAAATTGATTACTGAATTGCCATTCATTTAAAAGTTACAAAAAAATAGAATAAAAAATATATAATCATTTAACTGAATTGATTACAATACATGTTTAATGTAATGAACATTTTTTCTACTAGGAGGACATATTTCAGAATTACGGTGGGCACCGTGGGATTAAGAGAAATACCATTTGGGTGTTGTCTTCCCAAAATTTTATTTGTGGACGGGAGGACAATTTTAAAAATTATTTGCCCTGATCTAAAATCTCAATGATTATTGTAATCTCTTGATATTTCACCTAGAATTGATTCTGATATGTAATATTAATTAAAACATAAAGGACGCTCTTCGTAATATAATATTTGAATACAAAAAAAAACAAGTTATCTTAACGAATTAACATCCCTGGAATTTCTGATCACAAGGGCCACGACGAGTAACCCAAAAAATGGATAAAAAACTAGACGTACTTTAATAAACCTGTTTCGACATACTCCTATCCAGTTGTTACTTTTCTTTGGAATCGAATGTAAGTATATATAGTAGGATAACTGTTTTCAATCGAAATTTGCTTTCGTCTTCAGTTGATATTCGTAAAGAGCCACTTGAAAAGTGTACAGTTCTATCTTCCCCCACATAAAACATGAAGGGAATACTGCATAATTCAATCCATCATAGCCCATTAAATCCATTGCCGGGAACTTTGTTTCTTCTTCTTCCGATTACAGTTATTATTTTCTTGGACTGGATTACAATTGCATAATTGATGTCTGTAAATAATACATACAAGAATCAAAGTTTCAGAATGATTACCTGTTGTATATCTCTTTGCTATCCACATTTCATATTTGTATTTGCATTTTTAAAATAATTTATATCAGATCTAATTAAAAATATATTCATCATCATTAAACAAAAAATATTGTAATTTTGATTGTAAACTTTTGTTTACATCAAATTTCACAGAAACACTTAGATTAACCGAAATAATGATCAGTTAATAATTTCTATAAACTAAGCAATATATTTAAAATATTCTATACTATTATTTTCTTTATTACAATTACTACAATATTCGCGGATGATATTGTAAGTTTGCCTATAAGTGAGAATTCAGTAATAATTATCCGAAATTATTAAAAAAAACTGAAATAAACTTCAATAAAGTTTAAAGAAATAAAGATTTCAAGAAAACAAACTCACGTTTATCCTTAAAATGCTATATATTAGTAGGATTAATAGGAAATATGTGTTGAGATCGTTTAAAATAAATAAATTTCTTATATACAAAGTCATAATGAAACCAATCTGAATCCAATTAATTTGATGATTGCAAAATCCATATTTCAACTGAAGTTAAAAGTATAAAAATGATGAGATTATAAATAGCTTCAAAGATTGAAAAAACCTAAATGGAAATATACAGAATAAATTGAAATTTCTATTATATACGACTGTAAAGAAAAACTGTCAAATATTATTCTGTAAAATATTTTCTATGATCTTACTCCGCAGTTTTTAAATACCTCTTTCGTAAAATCCAAACAATTTTCATTAATATATTCAAGACTTCAAGTTATTTCAGACTTGTTCATCATTTATATTTTTTCACGAAGCGAATGTTAAGAAGGTGAGATAGTCCGAAGGTGCAATATTATTAGATGAATATGGTAAATGTTGCAAATCTTCTAAATCAAGTATTGCATTATATTGTAATAGAATTATTCTTTGATTGTTTACTAAATCTAATCGTATTTTAAGCAGTTCCGCTTCTATTCTTACTAATTGGGTATAATACACCTCTGCTGTAACACCTCTATAGTAAGTTATAGCGATACATTCCACCAAACAAAAGGGTGAACTATTTTCAAAGTCCCTTATTTTTCACTTTGAATTTGATGGTTCTCTTCGAACTTTGATGGTCTGCAGAGTAATTTGAAAATATTTACAATATTTGTTTTTATTGTATTTTAAATATGCTTTTTTGCAATTTTCGCCTTATTATGTTGCATATTTAGAATTTTGTTAAGCCATGGTAGTAGTCCGCGGGATTTAAATTTTCAGTATAGTGGTCACTAAGATCAAAAAGGTTGGCTGTAGAGCAGTGGTCCCCAAGCCCCGGACCGCTATCGGTCTCGTTTCTAGTTAATTTAAATTTTTAAATCATGGCCCCCCCTCAGCAGTCCGCGGCGATAAAAAGGTTGGGGATTACTGTTGAGGAGCCACTTCTCATCACCAGTAACAATTCTTCCATGAAACGATTCAGTTTTATATCTGGGCAACAGAGATGTACAGATCATTTGTTGTTCTAATTCCGCTGAAAAATGTTTTTGCGGCATCCAATTTTTTTGTCCATTTATTTTCAAAGCCTTTCAAATGATCCTTCACTGTTGACCATCAACCAACAAAGTCTTGTGATAATTCCTTGATTGTTTTACGAAGTCTTCCTGATTTTGGTTTGTCTTTGCACTCCCTATCACCATTTTGGAACTTTGAATATCGCAGATGGTATGTGTAGCTTCTTTTGATTTCAATCCTTTATCAAATAAAAAAAAATGTATTTTTTTACTAAAGACAACAAAGTTTACCCATTATTAATATTTTGCAAAGCAGAATTACAACACAATAACTCATTTAAATATATACTTTGTGTAATTTTAATAACTCTTCATTTGAATATTAACTTGTATTTTTACTCATTGTTCTTATTTAATATTTCAAAGACGACATAAAAACCAACATAAATTACA